GTGAATATCCGCGCGCGAGAACGTAAAGGATCAGGCGAAAATCCTCGACGTGCCGTTGAGGAATCCTCAAGCAATATTCACCCTGCTGGGAGGGGTAAAGGCTCCAGAGAGGGTGTGAAAGTGCCCTTGTATAGAAAAAGAGAAACCAGTGAGCGTAATTTCTTCTGAACCTTCATGATAAAAGAGGATGACTGCTGAGAATCTAAGAGACGCACGACTCACTATTATAGAATATCTCATTCAGGGATATACAAGTAGGTAAGTTTTATACAGACTTAAAGGAATCTTCCGCGGAAAAAGCTCCGCCTCCATTACCACAGAAAAACGATACCCCTTAGGCCCCTAGCCTCATGAGCATAGCAAAAAGAACGGAACATAAGCGTTAGTTTCGATAATACTAATCCTACACACAAGACAAAATGATCACTCTTTCCGTGGAAGATTCCTTTAAGGTATCGTTTTCTGTGGTAATGAGGGCGGAGCTTTTTCCGTGGAAGATTCCTTTAACCGTAAAACGTAACTTTGCGCATGTCAAGCGATTTTTCTGTCGCAAGGATTGCCGCTGTTGACGAACCTCTTACAGCAAAATATCCCTCAAATGCCCTCTATAGTAGACGCAGGCCCTCCTTCACTGCCCTCACCGTCTTCAGAATATGACGTCATCTGTCACCGTCGTCGAGCTCAAGGAGGCCTACGTAACTGCTTCAGCCTGAAGCTCTTACAAATTTCTTGAATCGATTCAATGTGGATAGTTTTCTAGGGACATTAGCTCTGACTACGCAAAACCCCTCCCAACCAGCGTTCCATAAAACGTCGTAATGGTACACGCTGTGTCAAAGACTCCGCTGAGCTCTAACCGTGCACTGTTTCCGTGGCAAGATTTTCTGATGGCGTCCACGTAGGAGGCCACTGCGAAGATTTTTTTTCATAAAATGGAACGGACTCTTCAATTCTATGTAGGGAGTATTCAGTTTGAATCTAGCAAAGCGTGATTAAATCCGTTTGAATGTGGAGATAAATGTCTTCTTCATTGCCTCTCTTCCCTGTACAATCGACAAAACCTCCCTATTCTCCGCCCTACCTATTATACGTACCACATGATTACAAGGGTAAAACCACCCGGTTACAAGGGTGAAACCGCTGTCCCACTCGTCATCTGCATCTGCAAGTCTTTGTCTAGAGCTAAACCGCTTAGGACTGTCTCTACTATTCTGAGCAGATGATGAACGGTTTGAGCAGACTGGATTGAAAAAGGCAAAGTATAGGTCACTGATGACCCCTTTTTTGAGGCTCTTACACCCCGCTGATTCATGGCCCCAATACCCTAATGTCGCTGGCTATAGTTTTCTGGTCATGCCATGCACATATGTAGCAGCTCCCAATTTTTTTTATAATGGAGAGATTATCAAATTGCTTTGAATATAAAAAGTGATAAAGTTAAACGAAAAAAAGCCAACACAACCTGGTGAAGTCTCTGTCAGTCATCCAGAAAATAATACCTCTTTTGCTTGAAGAAAAGCAAATCGAGGATGTTCGCCCTTCGCTACAGACTGAAGTTTATAGTCATCGGTGACTCGTAACACAAGATTCGTCTTCGCAATGACATTCTCAAAGGGTTCGATTGTATTTCGTGGCAGGGCGAAATCCGGCTCACCACCACCGAGCAGGGCCAGAAAATCTCTTGGAGATCCTGAAAACTCCCATTAGAGCTCCTTAAAACGAATCAAAGTCATTCAGAAAAAAAAATGCAAATTTAAAGCGAGAAATCGGACTGAGATAAAGAATGGGCTTGGAGGCATCGGGCGGAAGTATTGCGACAACCGTGGTTGCTAATGTAACTGATGTTTAAAGGCGTCCGAGAGTAAATCTCTGAGACAAATTCGGCCGTAGTTCAACCGAACCCTTCCTCCCTTTGAAGCGGTTCCCGACATAGATTCATCTAAGAGGATTAAAACAGTGGATCCTACAATTGCTGCTCAACAAGTCACTGCATAGGCTAGATCGCATCCAAGTATCACTGCGACTTTGCATGCGAATGATGCATGGCGCATCACTTAAAGCGATTGGCAAAACGCGCCCAGCCTTCCTTTACCTTACGGGCACGCTCTTTGAACATAATATTTTGCTAAAAAATGTTGGAAGGTAAAGTGTCGTTAAGTCCGGCCGCCTTGCAGCTAATTATGAAGAGCACATTCAGACGCTAGCGGCTGCGGCGCAACCATTGCTGGTCCAAAGGGCCCATGCATATCGCACAAATGCATGCCAAGCAATGGAACTTGCAAGGCCTTGCAAAAATTCCAGCTTAACAAATGGTACGAGAAGTTGGCCGCCTATTGGAAATGCAAGTTCAGGTGGCCTACGGTAATAATAAAGAAAAGCAAACGGGCGAGGGCGTGAAACGGTCTGTAACGTGCGAAAGTAAACGTGGACGCATTGATCCCGCTCTTCTGACAAGAGCTGGAGTTCGACTGCGAGGGACCAAGTGCTGGGATATCCGGATCTCATCCAATAAGGGGGACCTATGCAGCGACAGTTGTACCACTTAAAGGAAGCGATTACGATAGATCTCACAGGGGTTTAGAGGGGACGAGGGTCTCAATAGTACGCCAATGGCGAAAAAAGCAAAGAAATCCGTCAAAATAAGCAAAATAGTACCCCTTTGATTGCCCTTTCATTTTCGACCATGGATGAGCGACGGTAAAGAACGACGTTGTTCGGACGTGTTAACCCCGATAGCCGCCATCATGCCAACAAGCATAGTGTTTTGATTGATAAGGCAATACGTGGGCAAGTTGGAAGATACAGCCGCTAGAAGGGAAATGATCATCCAAAATGAAAAGCCAACAGCAAACAGTCCATCCAGATCATCAACAAAACTAGTGGGCGTCACGTCACTGGGGGCGGGCGTCACGCGGGTCCTGCTCAGCAACCACAGCACCTTTCGCCGTGGGAGGGCCACACATCGCAGCCAAGTAATTGCTCCGTGGGGCGGTGGCGCAAGTTCTCCTCCGATGCGAAAATTCCTTATCGTAGTCGCTTCCGTTGAGTAATCCATTTTTTCAGCGAAAGGGTGCTCTGGGGAGGGTAAGAACAGCAAAGTCCATGTCAATCTCAACTCGCCAGAGAAAAATGAAATTCCAGTATTGGTAGCAACATGTCGGCAGTCTGAATGACTTCCCTTCCTTACTGAATGAACCTGGGAACCAATCAACGGAGAAAGAATTCGTAGGATTGTGAAGTCTGTTAAAGTTAAATTTATCGAATTGCACTTTTTCCGCTGAAGGCTCCGTCTCGCTCTCGTAGGAGTCCCTTTTTCCTCTGCGGTAGCACATTTCCCTTTCTTAACATTCATTTTATCGTACCCACTTGACTTTGATTCACTGAAAATTAGTTCGACATGCGAATAAATATTAAACAGTTAATACCTGAGACATTTTCTGCCTTTGACGCTGAACAGAATAAATCCGACTTGGTCGTAATGTGTATACATATTTGAGTAGCCTAAACAAAGAATAAAAATCAAATAAAGAAAAAAGATAAATCAAAAAGGCGTTTCGGCAAAATACGGGAGCATTGTCGTGGCAATGAACTCAAAACCGCGTGAAGCATTGCCTTTTTGTCGAAATCGGTACTGAGCCTTTAGGCGAAGGGAGAAAGACTACATGTTGCATGAACAATTTTCATACTCCTCGAATCTCAGCCTTCTTCTAGGCGTAGTACCAAAAGACGCCCCCGTATCTTGCGATAGCGCTCAAAAATATTTCTCCATCTTCAAGAAACCACTACTACACTTCCTTACCTTTGTCTTTTCAAGAATATTGCTATTTTCTCCCTCATATTTATACAACTTTGTTGGCGTGACTAGTATGAAAACAGCATTTTGATGAATAGACGACACCAATGGAGCCACAAGCCTCACATCGACTCGTTTCTCCCCTGAATATTTAAACATCATTCATATTAGACACGTCCTAAACTCTACTAATAGGCATCGAGAGGAATGTTTTGATGCGGAAGTATGAATTTCTCACCAGCGACCCGAATAAGCATGACCGGTGGATACGGTGATGTGGTATCCGCATGCTTCAAAGTGCTTTTCACAGATGTGTAGTCTTCTTTAGCCTAAAATACATAGCCTGCTCAGACTATTATGAGCCAATGGTGAAGTCATGTAAAAACAGAATGAGTTGTGGTAACAACTGCCTATGCCACAAAAATATCGCTCCTGAAAAAAGCCAACCATCGGCGCGAGCGCGAGCGCTGCGCTTGCTACGATTCCTTTACAGTTTTTTTGATTAGACACGATTTCTTGATGTAACCAGATCGATTAGATCAAATTAGCTTCTCAGCAGGGTGAAGTAACGGTCGAGGAATCCTCGACCATGGCTCTGTACTGTGCGAGAGTAGTGCCGAGAGTGAACATACGCGCGGAGAGCACAGACGGCTCGCGCATGGCGAGTGTGAATGTCCGCGCGGAGAGCGTAACTGATCAGGCGAAAATCCTCGACGTGCCGTTGAGGAATCCTCGACCAATATTCACCGCAGGCAAAGGATAAATTCCCAACCTGCAGGCCTTGTCGTGCGCTTGTAGCAATTGGACCACCTTCATCTTTTATCACAGGCACCACTAATGAGTCACGTGGGTCCTGAAAAGAAATGGTGAACTTCGAAACCACGTTCATTATTTTCTATGTACCTACCTCTTCGATTTTGATAGACTCAGTGTCAAGAGTTGTTAGCCGCTCAGTAGCAGCACGTCGACCTTTACTCGTTTTCTTCAGTCGAGGTCGTTTTGGTGTATCGAGTCTTGAAGAAAAGATTTCTTTTGCCTAGTTTTAAGGCAGTTCGGGAGACGCACGATGAAATCGAGGATCAAAATAATGGACCGAAACCAGTCAATCGACATATTGCGTTCACAAATTGCCATTATTATTCAATCAGCCAGTATTTTGAGAAGATCAAAGAGGGAGAAAAAGCGCTGATTTCCTTGGTGCCTAACACCTGCAGATCGAGCCAATTGAGCTGTATGTACGCCCCAGAGCCCAATATCACTGTTGGAGTAAACCAGAGGAATTGGGATGGTAGAAGGCAGCCATAGGCCGTTTCAAAAATTGCGAATCGAGCGATTCCCTAATAGCAAATCGCTCGATTCGCAAAGTCTGACACCAGCCATAGCAATGTGCAGCGCGTCTCTAGCGCAAAGGATAAGAGCTTCGATAATACGTTCATTTGGAGTAGCTTTTGACAAGAATCAGTAAACTGTTCTTATCTAGAAATCCCATCTAATCTTTCGCAAGCGGTCAGTAGTCCACTCACTCTTGAAGTCGTTCGCCCTCCCCTTAGTTCTAGGGAAAAATTTCCAAATATTCGACCCCTGCCCGCAACTTTCGAGGCTTATCGCGCCGTATCATCGCGACATGGGCCAGGTTTCCAATTCGTAGATCGAGACTTATGTCAACTCTGGAAAGGTATAAAAAGCCCATAAAAACAAGACGTCTCATGGAATATTCTTCGTTACTCCTGGAATCAAGCTTTAAAACATACTTCGATTGAATAGGTAGGTATTATTACGTTGAGAATTAATTAGATACTGTAGTTCGCCCTATAGTAGTGAAGAAGGCGAAGAAAATTGTTAAAAAAAAACCCTTAGAATCACATAGCGCGCTGTTCGCACGGTGGGTTTGCATCCCACCCTCATGGGAATCTCACTGGTCAGACTTCTTCTGATACGGTAAAATACGGTAAAGAGACGGGAGAATGAACCTCCTTGCCACGGGGGCGGAGCGCAAGCCCGTCTATACGATCCAGCCGCGAGCTAAATGATCTTCAAGGGTTTTCGCTTCTTTTTTCCACAACTTTCATCACTGGTAAACTAATCACCACAACTACTTTCATTGTCGGAGTGACAATCCACACCTATTCAGCCACGACGAGCTTCTCAACATTGTCTATCAATAAAGAACTTACATGTTAGTTTGTTCAATCGAGTTCAAATCGAATTCCTTTGTGACAGACTCTGCAATTACCGGAGTACAGCGAGGGAAAAATGAGTCAAGACCCTTGTCAAGATTGAGAAGAAGACTCTGCTTCGACATCGGCGCGACTGAATCAACACAAATTTGTTAACAAAATCAATAAGTGAAGCTACAGCAAATTTTATAGACCCGGCTACCTGAACTACCAAATACTCTAGCCAAATGATAGACAGATCCTTAGAAATTCCTTGAATTGCTTCATTTTGAAAAATCCTGCATCAAGGCGGAGTTTATGATTAGAAGGCGGAGTTTACGAGCAGCCCATTAAATAAGGTAGAGGTGGTCAGTGGTGCGGGATGAAAAAAACCATGAGAAACGGCCCAGAACCCGAGAAATGGGACCCCTTCCTTGCCCGTTGATTTCCGCATTGATGCGACTCTCATCGGTGCTGCCCTCTTCAACGCTAACGCTCTCTCTGCTAAACGGCTAGAGACCTGCGGCGAGTGGTTAGCCAGTCGGTGGGCGTGCCGCGCCGATAGCGCCGCGGGGACGGCCATGCTAGATCGCCGGGGCATATCCTTCGCTGCGGATTGCATGTCGGTCCGCACCCTTCAGGGGGTTCGCCTGTTTTTCCACTGGGCGAGTCTTCTTTCTTCACTTTCGACCTTGATTGTGGAATCCTCTTTAAAAGCCATTTCTTAGGGTACCAATCCTTCCAGGATGTGCGCAATGCGTATTAGGCCTTTCCAATGGATTTCGAGGATCACAGAAAGATGAGCTAGTGGTTTCACCCTCTCGGACGAGTCGGCGATGTAGCAGGTGACCGACCGCAGGGTAAAGGAAGCACTACTTGGAGTGTCTTTAGTTGGATTGAACCGACATTTGAAGGCACTTTAGGCTGTTGGAACTTGAGGGTGAGGATGAGGTCCATTGTCAAAACACTAATAATAATTGAGTTAATCAGTGAAAAAAAAAAAACGGACCGTTGTAAACACTCAAAAAGAAGCCCTTTCTCAACCTTCCTGCAGAGTCGGGGAGTCCGTGAGAAAAATAATTCGAAAGACACTGGGCGCTGAGCCTAAGAACAACGGACGAAGATGAGAGAGCATAACTTGGAGCGAGAAGGCAGATACCGTAAGGT